CTCTGTGTGCTTTAGCGCAGCCGCTAGTCATCTTCGCTCCCACTAAACTAGCAGCTCTGTGGTTCCCGGATCACCAGCGGGCCACGGCTAACATGCTAGCATCCATGGGTAACCAGCGCACACACACACTGACTCTTGTCTTGACGTTGTGTGCAGCTCAGACTAACTGTGTGTGTGTGTGTGTGTGTGTGTGTGTGTGTGTGTCAGCAGCTCTTCATGCTCTGCTTCTGTGCCACTTGTGTGTGTGTCCGTTTATGTGGTGTCTGCAGCTCCTCATATACTCCATACCCGCTGCAGTGGCCTGTCTGTTGGCCACTCTGGGCATCCATCAGGCGGTTCCACCGACTCCTGCATCCGCCAGCAGCTCCAGCTCTGCTTCTGAACCCTTCCTACAGGGCATCAGACAGGTACACACACACACACACACACACACACACACACACACACACACACACACACACACACACACACACACACACACACACACTCACACACGTACACACACCTCTAGCCTCCAGGTTCTGCTCCACAACACTGGATTAACAAACTCTGGATTAATTTAGAGCTGACTAAATCAAATCATAACATAAGTTGAATATAACCTTAACATAACCCAAACATATTCAAAACATAACCCAAATATAACCTTAACATAACCCAAATATATTCAAAACATAACCCAAATACAACCTAAACATAACCCAAACATATTCAAAACATAACCCAAATATAACCTGAACATAACCCAAACATATTCAAAACATAACCCAAATATAACCTTAACATAACCCAAACATATTCAAAACATAACCCAAATATAACCTAAACATAACTCAAACATATTCAAAACATAACCCAAATATAACCTGAACATAACCCAAACATATTCAAAACATAACCCAAATACAACCTAAACATAACCCAAACATATTCAAAACATAACCCAAATATAACCTGAACATAACCCAAATATATTCAAAACATAACCCAAATATAACCTAAACATAACCCAAACATTCCAAACATAACCCAAATACAACCTAAACATAACTCAAACATATTCAAAAGATAACCCAAATACAACCTAAACATAACTCAAACATATTCAAAAGATAACCCAAATATAACCTGAACATAACCCAAACATTTTCAAAACATAACCCAAATATAACCTGAACATAACCCAAACATATTCAAAACATAACCCAAATATAACCTTAACATAACCCAAACATATTCAAAACATAACCCAAATATAACCTTAACATAACCCAAACATCCCAACATAACCCAAATATAACCTGAACATAGCCCAAACATATTCAAAACATAACCCAAATACAACCTGAACATAACCCAAACATATTCAAAACATAACCCAAATATAACCTGAACATAACCCAAACATATTCAAAACATAACCCAAATATAACCTTAACATAACCCAAACATATTCAAAACATAACCCAAATATAACCTGAACATAACCCAAACATATTCAAAACATAACCCAAATACAACCTAAACATAACCCAAACATATTCAAAACATAACCCAAATATAACCTGAACATAACCCAAACATATTCAAAACATAACCCAAATATAACCTGAACATAACCCAAACATATTCAAAACATAACCCAAATATAACCTTAACATAACCCAAACATTCAAAACATAACCCAAATATAACCTGAACATAACCCAAACATATTCAAAACATAACCCAAATATAACCTAAACATAACCCAAACATATTCAAACATAACCCAAATATAACCTGAACATAACCCAAACATATTCAAAACATATTCAAAACATAACCTGAACATAACTCAAATATATTCAAAACATAACCCAAATATAACCTTAACATAACCCAAACATTCAAAACATAACCCAAATATAACCTAAACATAACCCAAACATTCCAAACATAACCCAAATACAACCTAAACATAACCCAAACATATTCAAAACATAACCCAAATATTCAAAACATAACCCAAATACAACCTGAACATAACCCAAACATAACCTGAACATAACCATAACATAAGCTGAGTATAACCCAAACATTTAAAACATAACCTGAACATAACCCAAACATATTCAAAACATAAGCCAAATATAACCTGAACATAACCATAATATTCGAAACATAACCCAGACATATTCAAAATATAACCCAAATATAACCAGGACATAACCAGAGCATAACTCAAATATAACTGAAACTTGACCTGAATACAAGTCAAATATTATAACCTGAACATAACCCGAATATAACCTTAACACAACATAAACATAACTCAAACATATTCAAAACAAACACTAAATATAACCTACACATATCCATAACATAACCTGGGCATAACCAAAATATAATTGAAACATAATCTGAACAAAATCCAAACATAACCTTAACAAAACCTGA